GAGGCTGTTACTGCAGCCCCTGCGCGGCCGGTGACGGGGCACCCCCCCGACCCCCCCGACCCCCCGCTTTGTTCACAGCCCCGGGACAGGGCAAGTTCGGCTGCGGGTCCGTTAGCCACGGAGGTCACAGCCTAATACTGCCAAAAAGGGGATTTTATAACCCTTTTCTTCTGTCCCTGCGCCCCTGCCGTGTTACGCTTTGTTCTTGTCTCATTTTCTGTGACAGAATAACAGATTTAAGAACTTCTCCACCACACTGGTGCTTTGGAAGTGACTGCAAACCCAAAGGATGTGAGGGAACGTGCAGAGGGACCGGGCGTGACCTCGGCACCGGGGAGGGCTGCGGAGCATCCAGCACTGATGGCAAATGGGGCTCAGCTGAGCGGCCAATTAACCGGGGGGAGGGGCTACAAAAGGCAGCTGGGGGCCAGCAGCAAATTTGGCTGTTTGTCGGGGGTGCTGCAGGGCTGTCCCTCTCTGGGCTCCCGGGCCGAGTTTCTGCTCCGTTTTATCTGCCTGGACGGAGTGAGGCTCAGAGAAGTGCTCCTGATGGGGTAAGCAACCAATTTAAATAATATTTTTGGTTTTTCACAAGGGCTGGGGAAAGGCTGGTGTGAACCAAGGGAGCACCCGAGCAGCTCGGTGTGTGGGGGTGCAGGTGCTGGTGGTGGGCTCTGCAGCAAGGCCTGGCGCTGGAGCCCTCGGGGGGGGGCTGCAGGGGATGGGGCTGTGGGTCAGGGCTCCAGCCACCACATCGGGGGTGGCTTGACCTCAGGGGCTTCCTCCTGCTGTTTCGGGGTGCTGCAGATGTGTATCTCTTGATAAGATAACACTGGGCCTCGCAGGGGAGGGTTAAGCAACACAAGGCTGTGGTCCGTGATGAGAACTAGAGTCTTGTTCTGCTCTGACCCTGGCTCACAGCCCCTCTGCACACCCCAGCTCACCACCTCCGGTGGGTTTCTGCACCAACCCCCCCACCCATAACCTGCTCACACGGCAGAGCCTGCTCCGAGAAACACCCTGTGTCTGCTGGAACCCGAGATAAGGCTTAACGGGTACGGCTGTGTTAGAGCTGTGGTGGTTTAAGTATTTACTGTCAGGGCTTTTAGTGGTGATGGTATGGAATTGTATAAATAGGGAACAATTATGCATTTGAGAAGCTGTTTTGAAGTTATTAGCTTCTTTAACGTATGCATAATCCTCAACACAAGGGAGAACATATGCTTTTTAATAAAAGCATGTTGTCTTACAGTGTTAAAAAGCTAGCTTAAACTATTTGTAAACTCGGGTGGCTTTTAAAAATAGGCTGGAGTGCATAATCACAGAAGTGCAGGAACTGAATATGGGGAAGTGACATGGAGATGACAACATGGAGGTGTTGCAATGAGTAAAATCAGATTGTGACTCTGTAATGCCCTAGTGTAAATGGGGAGGAAAATGCAGGTTTCATCTACGTAAACCTTCTGAAACGGTCTCAGGTTTGGAGTTTGGGGTGCAGCTGAAATACAACAGAGGTACCTGCTCACCCACGAACTCTTGGGACAGCTGCAATGCCCTGACCAGCGTGGGTCCCTCCCACACTTTGGGGGTATGATGGTCTCAAGGGGAAGGTTACTTTTTCTGTTACCTGAAAAGTGGAATTGCTCCCCAATGCCTGGGAGAAACTGTCTGGGATTTGGGTTCTCTTTCTCTTCCTGGTCTCGCACAAGGAAGGCTGTCATGGTGTACTTCCCACCCGTGTGGGTTATGGTGCACGTGAACCAGGAGTCGGAGCTGCTGGCTCTGATGTCTCTGCCAGGCCAGACGACCTGGGTGCCTGCTGTATAGTAAGGGCTGATCCTGCAGTCGAGCATCTCCGTATCCTCATTTGCGTACGGAAGAATATCCCCTGAGGACTCTGTAAGGAAAGACATGTAGGGGCTTGTTTTGATCCCAGTCCATCTACTTCTGAGCAAACCCAGCCCTGTCTGGCCCCGCTCTGCACATGGTCTGTCTCACCATGGATTAACAGCTCCTCCATGAGCTAACCCTGACCCTTCCGTCCCGCTTCTGCAGTGCAGCATCCCCCTGATGTGGTGACAGAGGGTCTGGGGGCTTCCCCTGGAGGAGGAGACAGCCAGTTGCTGTTTTATTCAGTCTGGGGAAAACTGTGTGTCACCTGAAACCAGGCTCTCACCAGGTGATGCTCTTAAGTTCAAGGACAAGTCTTCACAGGAATGAGAAATCCAGCCAGGCACTGAGTTTTGAAATGCTGATTATTATTATTTTTGTATCTTTAGTACCTAAACCACAGTGAATCTTAGGGAAAAAATACTCCAAGAGGCAAATGTCTCTTCTGAATCTGTCAGAGCATCCCTGGCTGGTTTCCCACTGTGGATGCAACTAGTGCCACCTCAGGTCGGGCATCAGTCCCGAGCCCACCCTGGGCCCCGCAGAAAGGGGCTGGGGGCACCTCTGCTCTTCCTTGGTGCTGGGCTGAGGGCGGTGGGCAGCGACCACAGCTCTCACCCCTCTTGTGGGATGCTGTCTGACTTCTCACCCTGAGGAGGAGCAGGACTTGCTCACCTGGCTTCAGCAAATCACTCACCTTGGACAATAAAGGAGGGGATTTTGTCTGGAGGAAGGTTTTCTGGTGGAAGCCTCTGACCATCCCTTGATCCCGTCCCCCTCAGCAGCAGCCGCACGTGGATCCTGACGAGCTCCGTCTCCCTCGACAGGGGGATGGACTTGCTGGTCTCGAACACGCAGGGGAGCTGCCGGCTGCTCCCGAAACCTGGGCCCGATGCTGTGATCCCCCTCAGGGTCCCCACGAGGCCTGAAAGACACGCCATGCACACACAAGCCATTTTTAGAATGTCATGGTTGATCTTGAGATAGTAACAAAACAAAGCTTACTAATAGCAGAAAAACTGTGTGGCCAGTGCCCTACGGGTGTTATGAACCCTTTGGCTCGCAGCAGGCTGGTGATGGTGGGAAACACTTAAAAAAATATTAAACTTAATACTCAAATACTCTCCTTTCATTAAAATGTAACTTGCTCAATGGGTAAAGCATTTTTATGTGGGTGGGGTATCTATTTGTATCTGAAGGAGCTGTGCAGCTGCCAGCACCTCAGCCCTTTGCCCCTGTGGCTCCCAGGAGCTGGGGCAGCAGGAACTGGGGAAGCCCAGCCCTGGCACCCACCTCCTGTGGGGCTGGTGGCCAGCGACAGAGACCGAGGTTGCTGCTTCTCCTCAGTGCAGAACAGCAAAGTAACACCAACCTGCAGAATATCAAACCTGCAGAATACTTCCTGATCACAGAAAACACATTGGCAAAGCCTTGAATCCCATTGCTGTAAGGGCAGTGCTTTTCCATGGAATTCAAGGCTCAATCCAGCCTGGATGGTAATGTTACAGGGACTGTTGGTAAGAACATCGATTTTTAGGTGTTCTTAATTACTCTGAGTTTCTTAGGGGGAGCTGTGTGAAGAAGCAGGAGCAGCAAGGTGTGAATGTTGACTCATTCTGGTCTGCAGCAGGGCTATACACAACCACAGTCATTTTTGCTCAATGAGACTTTCTGAACTGGCAGAAGCAGGAGAGACACTTGGGGACAGGGAACCTGCTGGAGTGAGAAACTGCAGTGTCGTGGCGGGGAGGGGCTGTTAAATCAGCCGGGGGATAGAGGAGAGGGGGTGAAGCTTTAACAGACCAAAGCGAAGCAAAAGACTGGGAAGATGCGCCCATTGTACAGATGTGAAGGCAGCAATGGCGCAGGGCGGGATGTCCCCGGGGGTGCCCACAGCCGCTCCGTGCTGGGGGTGGGCACCGCTGCCCCACGGAGCCCCGGGGCGGTGGGACCTGCTCCTCTGTGCGGGGCAGAGGCGGGACCCGCATTCGCCAAACCCCGCTCCGACGGGGCGCCCCTCGCTTCGCCCAGCGCCGAGGGGGGCCTGCGGGACCCGGCAGCTTCTTCATGAATGGACTTTTGGGTCCGTTTCACGGCTGGAAACGTGGAGGGTTTTTGCGAGTTTTGGGGCTGCTGGAACCCTCCCGGGGCCTTAGTCCCCCCCGCTCCCTCCCCGCGGGAACGCGCCCCGGCCCCCCCGAAAGCCCCGGGGACCCGCCG